CAAATGCGGAAATACATTAATGTCCCGAACATGTGAGTTAGGGTTTGGAATTAGCGTTATAGAATATAAAAGTAAAATTTGGAGGGAATTGAATTTGCCAATTTTGAGTTACATAACTTCAAAGTTACCAAGTGATTATGAAACAAGATATCAACTGCTTCGTTTTACTTTCTTGGATGTTATGTATACATAACAAGTATTGGATCGTGTCAAATTTTACCTTCCAAGTTCTTTGCAAATCTCCACATTTTCAGAACAGAACCCTAAAAAGTCGAAAAACAAGGCAAAAATTCCATGGACGTGTGTGTTGACGTCTAATTCATTTAATATCTCAGGATGGGCAATGATTAAGAAATAAAATTTGGCATGGTAGCTTGTGTATGAGGGACATTGATGCTATTAAATATTCATGGTAACAAGTCAAGTTTTTTTTAACACTGCCCCGCCACCATATCGGTGGGTCCGATAGAAAGAAGGAACTTTTTTTGTGTTTTGTTAATCTCTTTCTGGCCTGTGGGCACTAAGAGGTCCCCTTTTAGCAAGCACAGTATGGGTTTGGCCAGGCCCAATGGGATGGCGTGTGGCAAGGGACAGTCTCAACATATCCAGTCAGACCACTCCTTGTCCGGATTCAATCCTGGGTCCTCCAGAGCGGTAGGCTGCCATCTATTCCCCCTGTCTATTTTAAGATATGTTCAATAGAATCAATAATCGAAATTTGTAAATGTTATTCCGAAAAGATAAGCAATTAGTTAAGGTAGATTTGACGACCCTTCATTAATACTAAAACCGAAGCAATTATTTTCTTGATTCTTCAAGAACTTCTACCTCCACTCCCCCACTAATTGACTACAAAAATCTACTAAACACTGATAATTGCGGGTTAGACCCTCGGGTCTGGCCACGTGAAATTTTCTGAAGTTTCTTCGTGCTTCTATCATTTAATTATGGACCAGTTTCCTACTAGAAAGAGATAATTATAGAAAGTTCCTCATTTGTCCTTCCGAGAAGCATCTATCCCTGCAGATCGTCCATTATTTTGTTGTTTTATTTGATCTACCCAACTAACAGCTGCTAGTGTTGCCACCTTTTCAAAATCGCTGACCCGGACAAGAGGTTAGGTTTGCTCGAATAGAAGTTCCTGACGCATGCGCAATGTCATTTTACAATGCGAAGAATAACGTGCATGCAAATCAGTTACAGTGTACAGATAATTTAGCTCTATTTGAGACGTGTACGATCGTACATAAAAGGGGCCGACAAGTTGCTGCGCGCCACACGTCGGCGTTAGACTAACATGGCAGAATTGCAGATGAGGAAAGCATAGTAAGGCTATAAACTTCATATAAACCGGGGAGGAGACGAAAGAAAGAATTGCAGATGAGTTTCAGTGAGTGTGAGTTCTTTCGCCGTTAAAATAGTATAAATTTGTAAAAATATTTGCAGGAACTTTGTTTCATCGTAATTTCACAATTTCTACGAAATTCCCGGACAAAATTAATAGTTTACCCGGACAGCGAGTCAATTCCCGGACTGTCCGGGTGAAAACCGGACGGGTGGTAACACTAACAGGTACATCCAATGAATTTGCTTAAATAATTTTAAGAATCTTTTTTTAGTATCTACTTAAGTAATTTAGGATAAAAATGTGTTTAATACAAGCGAAATAAAAATTATCTTTTGTAATAACATACTGTACTGTATTAACAAAATTGAATAATTTTATGAATAGAAGAATTGCATAAAAATTTACAGCAACCTGAATTTTATAATACTTTGTTAAATATGAAATTTCGTAAATGCGAAATAGTGCAAATTCTTTCTACTACTACAGGAAATACTCGTTAGTTCGAAATTCAGAGAACGAAATATTCGAGACTTCGAATTATTCTAGATTCAAGGTCCTATATTCTAGGACCTTGTCCTAGATTTACATACAGTATTTCTGTACAATATACCAAATGCCAGGTAACTGATGTAATTTATCAAGCAAACGGAATACGGATATGTACAGTACAAAGAACGCTATTTTCGTTTATTAATTAATAATTAATATAAATGTGAAGCTAAACAGCGCGTGTACGGTGAGAACCTCACAGGTTTCCAGATAGGTTTTATAAAACAATAAAGCAGATTATTCGAAATGTACCCCAAATTATTTTTAACGTACGCATATGACAGTTCGGACAGAATTTCCACTTCGAATCACGAAGTAGCAGTATTTCGAACTAACAGAATTCCCTAACGTGTAAATCTTTAACCGCTCGGCCATCCTGCCGACGTTATGAATGAATATCGGAAACGTTAACTTTTATAATTAAGCAGTTTAATTGAATAAATATTTTAATTTTTTTGTTTTAATTTTTAAAAATCTTATTTATAGANCGAATGAATATAAATGAGTATTTTTGGCGGATATTGGGCTATAGATATCGCTGGTGTGTTTTGGTTTAATTTGATAATGTCGGAAATCTGTTTTGGTTCGGGTTAAGATTTGTGTTTGGCCATTCGGTGAGGAATATCGGTCGAAAGGAAGGAATTTTTTTTCGAGTGAAAATGTAGGAAAAAAGCGATTATTCGGGAGAAGATGGTCTCCTTCCTCTTTTCCTTTTTTCTCTTCATTTCTTTCCTCGAAGGTAACGTGATCTGACTATCATTTATATTGACTTCTCCATCATTTACTCATTCAATTCTCCTCCTTAATTTCTACAAATATACAAATTCTCCTTTTATTCTAAACTAATATTAAATTTCTTCTATTTGCGTAAATAACGACCATCTTTTATTTTTTAATATTCTATTCAATATATGCGAATAAATATTAATTCGGATGTATTCAAAAATCTAATAAATTTCATTAATTTGATCTAATAAAATTAATTTTTTAATTAAATTATTTCGATTATTTCATTTACCGTTTATTTTTATTGTAATTTTTACAAACTTGTTTATTTTATTTTATTTACACTTAACAAATTAAGTACATTTTGTAATTGCTTTCCTCCAGAAGTAAGTGACTTGTACAGTATATTTTGATATATATAAATTAATTTCATTGAAATCTTAATTATATAATTAATAATGATTTGTAAGTTATTTGTACAAATAATTAACTTGGTACCGTGTCGAAAGAAATGATTTATTTTTACTTGAGGTACCTTTGGCCGTGTGCGAGAATTTCCCAAATGTATCGGCGTTGCCCGAACCGTGGCTTCCGGGCCGGATTTGGCTCTCGAGTGTATTTGACGCATTGCTTATAAATTATAGAAATAACCCTCTATCTCGGTATATGTGGAATATACAAAATATTTGTGGCCTACCTACTTATACTTGCGTATGTCTTGCCGATTGAAAAGTCTGGGCCCCGTTACCATGTGTCGTCGTCTTCCCAGATTTTCTTAACTTCTAAGTCTTAAAATTTTCAAAATGTCGTTTGTTTCCTTCTAGCGATAATTTTATGCAGTAAACTAGTGACGGGCCCCGAACTTAGTTCTTGGTATTGTCGTTTATTTAATTATCGTACCGGAAGAAGTTATTGAATTGATGTTAGCTGAGGCTCTAAACTCTAATGCAGAGTGAAAATTAGTACTGGTACATATGTTAATTGTTTTGAGTTATAAGTTATAAAATTCTTATTAAAGAAGATACAAAACTTCTGTTAAATATTTAAAGAAGCATCTGTGATAAGGCATTTCTCTATGTTCATTTATTCTCGTTTTACTAAAATTAAATTAAATGTTACGGTAGGAGTCTGGCCGTAATGTTTGATTAGTAATATTTATCGAGGTGTTTGTATATCTAATTTTACTAAAATCATTTATTGTGTTTGCCTGAATCTGAAATTCTATTCATTTAAAAAAACAATTAATTTTAGGTGTTGTAAATCTGTTAAAATATATAATAATTGGCAATTAATACAGTAGTTTTTGTTTCAGATTAATATTCATAATTATTTGTATATTCTTTTAGAAAGAGAAACTAAAAATAAAAACACTTTAAATTAAATCGTGTTTAATTACGTTCCTAATTAATTTACATTATTTTTCCATTTTTTATTTTTATGTAACCTTTGAAAAAGTTTGTATTAAAGCTTTGAACAAACAGCAAGTTTCAATCAACAATAATAATTTCTGCTTGTTAAATTTTTTTTATTGAAAGAGGGAATATTGACATCTTTTTCAGATAATGAAGTTAAGATCCTAATATTACACACAAAACAATGATAGCAAACAGAATTCCATTACAGAAATGAATTGTGAAGTCTAAAAATGATATGTGCATACAGAATGACAATCAACAGTTGAAAATAATGTTTTTGTTTTATGTATAAATATGAATTGATTTCCTTTTTTATAGAAATCACAGAATTTATTTTAAGATTTTTTGAAAAACTATTAAATAAAAGATCAAACTTATATTTAAATGTAGAATTTCATTTAATGTTAGATACTATTTGAATTTTTCATTACAGTTCTTCCAGTTATCAGGCAAGTAGAAAAATTTATAAGTAGATATGAAAAATAATAGTTTCTATAGAATACAATTTTAAAAATTGTATTCTCTTAGAACAATTATCTTATTGTAAAAATTATATTTTCCGGTTTGTTTTTAAAATTATAACACTTATTGGTATGATAATAGATTAAAGTATGGTGATTTTCTCACCATTCATTCAATTGTTTTTTAACAATTGCTTTGTTGAATGTATATAATTTCTTAAAGTTAAACTGTTTTTAAAATTAGTTTAAATTTGGATAAATTTAATGAATTTACAAAGTTTAGCATATTATTATTATATTCTTTAGCACAATATAAAAGGAAGGAATCTTTAAATTTGAGCTTTTGCACAAAGACAAATTTAAAGATTTTTTTATATATATTACTAGTTTTGCAAAGTAAGAAAGATTACTTTAAGATTAACAAAAGTTTGTTAATCTTAAAGTAAAAAATATATCATATAATTTCAAAATCTCAAAATATATGTAAAATACAGATGGCGCTGGAAGTGGCGGTTGAATCGTATGGGAAACGTGATGTGAGCATATTCGTTCTTTTTAATGTAAGTAGATGTCACCTAGAAGAAATAAGTTATATCGTAGACGTTTTCGTAGTGTACAGAATGATATTTTGGCTGTAGATGAAGATATTAAACCGGCGTATATTTGGGATGTTTACAACGCTACGTCGCAAGAAGTGAAGGAATACTTGAATGAATTACACGTGGCTTCCATCATCCATAACCCTTTACAAGTACTAAGAGTGAAAGATACATTAATGGTCACGTGGCCAATTCGTCTTGTTAATTACTTGCAAAATATAATCGTAGACGACGATTGTGCTTTCGTCGACATCACCAATAATACCGCTCCGTCTGTATTAAAAGAATATAAAAATTTACAAGCCATTGAAGATATGGTGGAAAATGTGATAAAACAGTTAAAAGAAATAATAAATCTGTCTCTCGATTCTGAATTGGAAATTATATGTGATACTAAATGGAATCTTACCTCGTTATTTGGTATTTTATCTGGATATCCAGTTGTTTATTGGTATGATTGTGAAATGGAAAAAAGTACGTCCATTTCTTGTCTGTTTACGTCCACATTGAAAATTTATCATGTCTGGGCTAGTATTTCTGCCGGAAAACCAAATCACAGGATATATTCCTTTAGCATTCCGGAAAGTCTGGTCACGGAGGTCCGTTGCCATGTTTCCGCCTGGTTCGACAAGCTCGTTTCTAGAGTGAGAGACACAAATGGTGTTTTTGAGTCTCTACAACTCACACGCAAGGTGACGGAACTATATTCTGTAGCATTGTGATAGATTACATTTTGTATACGGTATTTTTTAATTTAAATTTATATATTTGGAATACAGAATTTAATAAATGGTCCTTATTACATAATGAGAAAATAATTCATTTTTTAATGTAACTTTTATGTACCGTTGGTAATGGTAATCTCTGTTTGTTATATTTTTTCGAGAAACCTGGTCATCCAGATAATTTTATACATTCTGTTAAAAGTTGTAGTCAAACTGTTGTACCATCAAATACTTTTTAATATAAGAAATAACTGTTTTGTAGTCAAGACCGAGAAAATTATTTGTATTTAAAAATTAAATATCGAGCATTCGAAACAGTCGAAATAACGTAAAACTTGGAGACTGTCTACAAAAGTCACATTAGCAAAAATATTATTTGATTTGATATAATTGTGTTTTTTAATAATTTATGTAACAAAAAACATACTTGCGCAACTTGATAATGCCTGGAAATTTCAAAATATTGTATATGTAAATTATTGTATACATAGTCATCTATAGTATTATAATGTCAAAATATATAAGTATTTAATGCTATTGACAAGTACTCTAATGCCACAGGATGCTTGTAACATTCCATTTACAATATGAAGTCTGTGCTATGTGAAGTGTTAAAAAAAAATTATATAAATATATGTATAGAGAGAGCAGTTTATAATTTTTCACATATAATATCTGTATAGTGTAAAATAAATATTTTTTCACATATTTAAGAATNATTGTTATACAAAAATAATGTATTCTAGAGATTTTTCTTCTTGCATATATAAATTTTATCAAAAAAAAAAAGCAAAGAAGTTTTTAACGTGTTGCAATCAGCATTCAAATTTTGTAAGATTATTATTTGGATGATGATGATAATTGTTCTTATCTTCTCTTAAAATATATTTGATTCTGGAAGATTTAATCAATGATTATAAAAAATGACTTGTTTCGTAATGAAATCACTTAATTTATTGAAGAGTTTAAGTTTATTGATCTTTTTGTTTTTAAACTTTTCTGTTCTTTATCACCGCATCTCTGATTTTTTGAAGAGAATGATGATAATGAATTGAAAAGGTGCAAAATTATCCAGTATTTAATTTAAAAAAACTCCATCAAACTTACATTTAAGTTTAAATAATGTGTTTTGTAATAATATATCATTTTTTTTAAAGCAAATTAAGTTAGTTTATTTGATTAAATATTTTCAGGCAAATATATCATTTTTAACAGAAAATAAGCGAAAAAAAAACAGTGTTAAAATCACATATTTGAAGCCTAATACACTAGAATGCATTATTAAATTTTTCATTAAAATGAAAATATTACAAACAATTATAATGATGTAGGCTATGATATACAGTGGAACCTCAGTATACAACCTTAATCTGTTCCTGATGTTTGGACTTACACCGAATAGGACATATACCAAACCAACCTTTCCCATAAGAAGTAACGTAAACGATTAATCTGTTCTCAAGTAAAAAAAATGGCGTGCTTTAAACACCTCGCTTTTCTGGCTAGTTCCTGGTTGATTCTTCATGAGATCAGCATGTATCTTTTTAGCTTTCTCGCAAATAATTGCTTCTGTTGCTACTAGGTTTGCCTTATGTTTCGCATTTTTAATGTCAGTTCTGATATGCTGTTGCCAGCACACTGTTTTTCAGTTATCTAAAGCAAAAGCAATTTCTCACATGATCTAACATCTTCGATCACTGTTTAGAAATTGATTTAACCCCTTTCACAACGTTAGTAGATTTAATAATGTCTTTACTTTTTAAGAATGTTAATATCGTTGTTCTCGGAATATGGCATGCAACAGTTAAATCTCGAACACGCATGCCACCTTCATATTTCTCAATAATCTCTTTTTTCAGTTCCATTGTGATTCTAGTCATTTTTTTAGTTTTCTGTTGCTTTTCCATTTGCCTTTTTGCAATTCATCATTAATAAAACTGATAAAATTTTACTTACAAATTAAAATTAGAAGAAATTTAACAAAGTTATAAATCGTGGCATCGCAAACGTTTAGTCTGGCCTACTACACCGATAGTGCTACTTGTTCATAGATGGTGCATATAGTTGAATTAAGTCGTGTACCGAACAAAAGTCATATACCGAGCAAAATTTGTTTCGTCTAAACAGGACGTATTCCAAATTGGACATATTCTAAAGCAGATTTATACCAAGGTATCACTGTATTATACATATTACGAGGGCTGTTTGGAAAGTTCGCGGCCTCAAATAGAAGAACAAACAAAATAATGTTAAAACTTTTTTTATTTTTCAATGTAATCTCCTTTGTTAGCAATGCACTTATTCCAGCGATGTTCTAGCTTTTTTATGCCATTTCAATAGGTCGATTTGTCAAGGTGTGCAAAATACTCGTTCACTTCAGAGATGACTTCTTCATTTGAGTGGAATCTCTTTCCAGTCAAGAATTATTTTAAATTTGGAAAAAGGTGGAAGTCACTGGGGGCTAAATCAGGTGAGTACGGTGAATGTGGAACTAATTGGAAGCTAAGTTCGTTTATTTTTTGTTCAGTGATTCTGGTATTCTCGTGGTGAAACAGAACCTTCTTCTTCAAGTGTGGACTCTTCGATTTCTTTCTTCAGTTTTTCCAAAAGTATACAGTAATAGACAGCATTGATGGTCTTTCCTCTTTCTAGGTAGTCAATAAAGATGATTCCTTTAGCATCCCCAAAAAACCGAGGCCATCACTTTCCCCGCTGATGGAACTGTTTTTGCCTTCTTTGGTGGTGGCGAACTGGGGTGTTTCCATTGCTTCGACTGTTCTTTTGTTTCAGGAGTGTAGTAATGGATCCACGTTTCGTCAGTAGTCACAAACCGACGCAAGAAATCCCGTGGGTTTTTCTTGTAGAAGTCCAAACACTTCTTTGACATCAAAGTGCGAACACGTCTTTGCTCAGCGGTCAGCAGATGCGGCACCCAACTTGCTGAGACCTTCGTCATACCCAAATTTTCGGTTAGATGTGGTGCACTCGGTCGACAGAGATGCCTGTTGTCTCAGCTATCTCACGCGTTTTCAAACGGCGATCTGCTAACACCAAATCGTAAACTTTGTCGATATTTTTTTCAGTGACAGCAGTTGACGGCCGTCTGCTGCGAGGGTCATGTTTCACACTCTCTCTGCCAGATTTAAAAAGGGCTGTCCATTTTTTCACAGTGGTTTACGAAGGAGCAGACTCTCCCAAAACTTCATCCATGTCAGCTTTGATTTGAGATGCGGTCATCCCTATTTTCGTCAGGTATTTTATGACTGCACGAGTCTCCGTCTTCTCCATTTTTGACAAAGCATGTGCACATTGACTATCTGCTAAGCTGTCATGGCAAAACTTTACGACAAATCAAGCGGAAATTGGTATCGTATCTTTAGCAAGGATGGCTGAATTATTCCCACCAAAAATTAAATTGATTGCAGCGCCGCATATAGGCAAGGCCGCGAACTTTTCGAACAGCCCTCATATATTATTGTTAGATATTTGTTGAATTAAATATTGGATATTTTTTATTATTTAATTAACATTTATTTTTTATCTATATTATTTAATTCATTTTTTATCTGAAAAATTTTATGGATCTGAATTTATTATTCATAGCTATACTGCAAAGATAAACTGTTTGGAAAGTTGAATGTTTTCATATATTATCTCAGTTATTAAACATATAGTACATTATATTTAAGTTATTTTTATTTATTAACAAATACTAAAGTTTCTTTATTTGTATATGATTCCTGTTACATAACAAATTATATTTTATATCAGCATAACCATGTTATGATAATTAAACTTTATCAAATAAAACTTTATCAAATCAAACTTTAAACAGAAATAAGTTTGAAATGTAATTTTATTTAATAAAGTAGTTTCTGAAAAATAACATTTTGTTAAACACACACTATAATATGAAAATTGATTATTTCAGTAAGTAGATAAAAATGTAAACTGTAATTTAGTTATATATTTATTAGATAATGTTGAAAAGGCAATTTATCTTTTCTCAAAAACAAATATACAAAAATCACTAGAATTCAGCCAATTAATTTTTGATCAAAGCCCTTCTCTGGATAAGAAATTGATTTTGTAAAATTTACAATTCTGAGCATAAACAACCTTTCCAATTACTATAATATGATAAAAATGAAAATCACCTTTCTTATAAAGTAATACAAATAAATAGTTATCTTGATTTTTCAAGTACTTTTTAATATTTCTATCAGCTTTGTACAAGGGCAGTTTTTTTCCAAGCTCTTATGGTGCATAAAACAAAGACAAATGTAAATAACAAAATGAATTTATTACCAAAAGTTAGGTATAAGCATGGTTAAAACAATGTAGTTAAGGCCATCTCAATTCACTGGCAGCAACATTCTATGACAAGGGGATGGAAAAGATCGTCCACAGATATGACAAATGCCTCAATCTTCATGTTGATTATGTCAAAAAGTAACCATGTTTGTACCTAACTTTTGGTAATAAATTCATTTTATTATTTACACTTGTCTTTGTTTTATGGACCATCAGAGCTTGAAAAAAACAGCCTATGTATTATTCTTGACATCACTTTAATATTGCTATATGGAATTTTTAATAAATATATATTTATAATATATTTTTTTAATCACTGGATGAAGAAATATAAAACATATTGGTTGTTGTGATCCTATTCAGTTTTAAAACATTTAAATGTTAAAATTGTTTGTGTGAAACAAATGTTTTTCATCACTTAACCTACAAGAAGTAATAAGTCTGTAAAATTAGCCAACCTTGGACTATGTTAAGAAAATGTTTTTAAATTGAAAAAAAACAACAGTTTTTATTATTGAAAATAGAAATTTTTTAAATATATGCTTAAACATCTTATGATAATGTATTAAATCTTTTAAATAATAATTATCTAAATATAATTGAAGATGTAAATCTGAAGTATCTGAGCTTTTGGTTTTTTGTTTTACAGTTCATTAAACCAAGTATATTTTTATTAAGCATTATTATATTACTTACTAAACAATTTAAATTATTTTTTCAATTATTATTAATTGTATTACTTTTAATCATATGAGCATTAGGACATAAGAATACATGAATGAAAAAAGATAATTGAACACTGAAGAAATTTAAATATGTTTTTGAAATTTGCAAAATAGAATACAATTCACATAATTTAATTGATATTTAATAAGATATTTTTACATTTGTATGTGTTGTTAAGAGTATTAAGTTAAATAATAAATGTAATGAAAAGTGATATTGATAAATGATTGTAAAATAATTATGGCAATTAAAAAAACTCAAAGCATAATTAATATATTGGTAATTGCT